GTGTTGACCATAGAGGTTCACCTTCTTCCCCTTCCCTCAAAATACGTCCAATACCTGTCCACCTTAAATTTGACCACTAACCTTAGATGCCAAGGGTAAATGTCATACGCTTTTGGACACACAGTGTGGATTTGTTTTGAGCGATCGTTAATGCCTCGACTAAGGATACCCGAGGCCTTATCGATCGCGCACAACAAACCAACACTGTGCTTACAAAAGCGTATGAACTTCACCCTTGGCCTTCCCTGGCTGTAACCTTATATGCATTACGAGTTTGGCAGCGATCAGTGTAATTCATCTCACTGTATTTCGCCTGACGATGATGATGATGAAGATGAATTTCGTTTTCCATTCTATCCAGGTGAGATAAAAAAACTACTTACTGAAAAGGGAATGTTTAACCCGTTTTTTTACAAGGGATCTATCCTAACTCGTTAAGCATGAGTGACAAGCAAACAGATGCACACGGTCCGCAAGAGTCCTGTGTAAGCAGGTGAACAGGATTGGTAGTCGAGTTTTATGTATAGATTTTCAGGGAGACCATAGAGACACGAGAATAATGATTATCAAACTTCAAACATCTATACGCGTTCGCCATTGAGAATAATGTATACAACAGACGGACAACGAAGTACGCTGGCAAGTGGCGTTATTTGAGCGGTACGGAACTGTTCGCGGATGCCTGTATGAACTGGTACGCTCCTCAGGTTTCCAGCACGAAACTATACACATGGAAAAACAATTGGAAATTATTTCTAATCATCGTTGACTCCTTCACAAATAGAACTCGGATGTTTACTCAGATGTTTAAGAGCACATCTAAATTGCTCGTGTACAAGTCAGGAGTGCTCCAGGGAGCGGTACTATTTCCCTTCTTGTTTTCCACCATCAGTGATCTACTAACCAGTTCTCCAGCCCAATTACTTAAAAACCCTGACAACATAACCCTTTCCCTAACCACTTTCTGTTTCTGAGGACCTTCTAAATTTCTCCAGCACTCTATTCCACATCCACAAATTTTCCGTTCATTCTGGACTGTCTCTTAATTTATCCAAGTGTTTCGGATTAACTTTTGCCCTCTCTCGTTCTGTTTATCTCGTTTGATCCCTCGGTCATAAAGACAGACACCCTAAATAGGGTAGATTTTGTGAATCATTTAGCAGTTACAATTAACGTAAACTTGAAGTGGTCGTCTCATATTTACGACTTTGTGAGGAAACTTCGTGGTTTATCTTTTCAACTTCGGAGACTCAGGCAATTCAGAGCCAATCAAAAACTATTTCGCTTTTTTGTTTATCAATATGTTTTTCCAGTGCCCATTTATTTTTCCCTGATGGTTCTGGTTGGATTACTTAAAAAAGACTTCGTCGTTCTTCGTCAAGGTTTGTTGATTATCAGTCTTGTGTATTTCATACCCGTTGATGATCTATCTAAAACAACTGTATAAACTTCACTTGTCCTAATGTGAAACATTTACACAGAAAATCCTCTCTGACCCTACTCATCCTTTACATGACCATCTATCAAAATGCTACTCTCATTCATCGACGCGTTCTACCTATCGATTACCTTCTCACGGTAACTTCTACAGAAATCCTCCAGTTCTCTATCTCTATCTCGCGTCTCTTCTGAATTGCTCAGCCACCTTGGAGGTTAAATCTTTACTTGTATTATTTCCTTCGTTTGATGAGGTGTGTAATTTTTGACTGAAACAGGGACATCTGTCGAAGCAAAAGTTTATACGAATACAAATACAAACAGCCCAGCCTCGTTATATTGTGTGTAAGACCTAGCACAACAAAGCACAACGCGCGCGCATACATTGAAAAGAGTCATGATTTTTCAATCTGTGATGGTGGTGGTGGCGCTGTTTTAGTCGCTATCATCGGCCCACTTTGGACCCTATCGTCTGAGGTTCGAGTCCTGCCACCTCCACCCAACTTTGGTGGTAGGCAGATTTGCTGTCGTCTGGTTCAATACCACGCCTAACCTAGCGGGGCTTAATGTGGTTCTCCACTCCATGTCCCAGTTTCCATCAATAAACAGCAGGTCCTTATGACTATGGGGTTTCCGCCGTCTTCTGTTTACCACAGGAACGTGTGTAATAAAAAAAAACAATATTAATCCTCCTGCCCTCCCATGTTTACACACACCACATGTATTGAAGCGTTTTATCTTTTAAATGTTAATACACTAAATTTATTTATTTCTAGTTGGTTCGTTACTTTGTTAGTCATACAAAAACCCCCGTATGTAAGAGACTGCTTATTGTTTGCCAACCGTGGAACAACTGATGATGTGGTGATGTTTTGCGATTTGTTTTACCTGGGGTCTTCCGATCCGCGAGAAATGCATAGGAGGTCAGGTCTATGTACCACAATGTGAAATTTTCTGAGAATCGAGACCATGCACTAGATGAACCGGGTTGTGTACGGTTGGCGTCATGCGGGTGTTGCTTGATGAAGTTATCACCATTTGGTCATACTATGAGGTCCTCTTTAGAGGCGATGGTGAGAGGAGAACGACTCGCTTGTGGTATTTCGCATACGCTTAAATTAGGGCATGAGGGTGTGGGGTGGAACGGACAAATTAATGTACGTGGTCTTTGATCACTATCATCGAATTTACCTCATCAAATCTCTATCGCCTCCTTTTATCGCGTCTTCCTCTCTGACCACAACCAATGCGCACAGTTAAACTGAGACCGTAACTGGGCAGCTTGTCCTCTGTGTTTTTTCAGCCATCCGTTCCACAACCGAACAAACCAGTTACTACCCCAAGTCCTCCACCCCCTCGACCGGAGGTGGACATTTTTCCGTTAATGAAAGGTCAATCGAACTCGTTACCGTTGCACACCGTTAGTCATAGTCCCTCACCGACCGCCGGAATCGGGAGTGCAGTAGGTCCGAGTTCCGCTCAAAAAGTTGCCCAACTCGAGGCGGAACTGCGAGCACTCGAAGCCAGACCGGGACTGGCACGACCGGAAGAACTGGATCGATTGCGTGTGGAAATACAGTTTCAGCGTCGTTTGGCCGATCGCGAATCACTGCGTAGATATCGACAAGATGAGCCAGCGGTGTCGTTGGTCCGTCCAAGGACTGATGTTTCCCCTGCGCCACACGTAAGTTGTGCCATGGATCTGGGAACATTATCTGTTGTACAGTGTCGAATGAAACGATCTTCGTCATTCACTATGAGATCAGGGTTATCATCGACTGCAAGCAGATTCCTTAGTCTTTACCGAAAATCAGTATCAGGCAATAGTTAGAAATGGTCCAAAGATCTGTCGTATTGATAGCATCATCATCGCACACGATTATCAAGATTGATAATAATTATCCCGGATTGCTCTTTTCTCACGAACACCACTCGAGGTATACAAGGTGCAAATGGAAGCTGAGCAATAATTACGCAAAAGCGGTTGCATTTAGCCCAGGTATAACCAAATAAAGTGTGTTGGACTCTTAGCGTCATATAATCGATGCCGTTCATCAAGGTGGATGAGTCAGTTCGTATGTAAATGAAGGCCAAAGTGGACCACTTGAAACGTCAACGAGTTCACCCATTCAACAAACCGCTAGCCGTTCACGGAACTTCATCGCTGTGAAATACGATCCGATCACGTTGGATGAAGTAGGGCTGAGAATTAAATTGATGACGAAAGTGTTTCAATCTGAGCCATTAATGGGACCTGATTTGGAGATCCATTGTCTCATAAGATCAAACCACCACCCCTAACCGATTGTTAGAAATACCTAATGTTATGGCTGAGTGTCGTACTTGTTCGCATTCTCATGGTGGCGTAGTGGTTTAGTTGCTGTCGACAGCGTGCTTTGGACCCTATGGTCCAAGGTTCGAGCCCCGCCACCGCCATCCAACTTTGGTGGTAGGCAGATTTGCTGTCAGCCGGTGCAGTACCACGCCTAACCTAGTGGGGTTTCATGTGGTTCACCACTCCAATTCCCGCGAGGCTTAGGTTACCGGTTTCCATCACTGAACAGCAGATCCTCGTGACTGTGTATGGGGTTATCCCGTCTGCCGTTCATCACCTTAAAAAAAAGTTTAAAAAAATCCTCACAACCTTAGCCCATGTGAGGTCTTCATTTGCGCAATCACACTGCCTCTAAAATCCCAATCTTCCCATCCAAATCTTTATGGATAAATGGGTAACCAAAAATAGCAAGAAAAAGCTCCTACGCGAAAGCGAACCGTAATGGTTATATAAACTGTAAGTGAAACCGGCAATCGTCCGAAGAATTCCTCGTTTTAATATAATAAAAAATAAATGGCCTCAGTCGGATTTCTCGTGGAAGCTGTCTATGACAACGCGCGCATCGTGGGCTGATTAATGCAATTTATACCTAAACAAGTTTCCAAGCTCTTTAAGGAGGGTTTTTGATCCACGCGAACTGCGAGACTGACCAGCAAGTATCTGCATATCGCATCATATGCCAGAACTGTTTAGGCAGACGGGTCGACATATCGTAATGAGGTAAGTAACAGCCAGTTCAACAAATCTACTATGGAATCAATTACCCATAAATCATAAGTTACTAATAGCGAACCATAATGAACAGTATAAGGATTTATATCCTCTAAGGTCTATGTTATTTTGTAAACACATTATACCTGCTTCCTTTTCAAATTCCGTTTTGTAGAGTGGCGGCCCACAGTCTCATGCGAATCATTCAATATGGGAAGAAAAACGATCACAAGCAGAACGAGAACTGGAAGCCACGTACGTCCTCGATTGATTTTCTGTATGTATGTGTGTATGTATATATGTATGTATGTGTGTATGTATGTATGTATGTATGTATGTATGTATGTATGTA